GGGAGAGCTGATGGGGTGGTGGGTTGGTGGGCGATATCCTACAACAGCTGCAACAACAACAACAGCAGCAGAATCAAATAAGACCCAGTGTGTGAACAGTGTCATACTGAGGCAACAAGTCAATAAATATGCCTAAATACACACACGGAAAGGGTAAGCGGGGGCGCCCTGGCGGCTTAGGGTTTTAAGACGCTGACCATGTAATCACAACAACCCCGGTTTGAGTGCAGCGAGGGACTTTTGTTTTATGTCATCCCCAATCTCTTTCCCCTGTCAGCTACCTACTGTCTATCTAGTAAAAGCATAAAGGCCCAAAAATACTTACAAAAAGAAGGGAGGTAACAATGTATCTAGAGTGTCCAATGTTAACACTCAATTTAATGACTTTTATATTCAATAAACAAGATAAAGAAAAGAGCTATAGAAGTGTCAACAAACCTGTTCCAAAATGGCTGTAAAGCCATCATCAGTTGCACTGATACAAGGGAATATAACACTAATACAGTCAATTCACTGGAATGTGGTTTTACTTGTTAATGAAACGCTATTAAAAAAAGTAGTACAATATTGACATAGACATTTATCAGGTGTGGCTCGGCTACTTAATGTTTTCTGGTTCTTCCAATTTTGCCAATGAATGCAGCGTTAGTGTCTACTTGGAAGTGACTGTCACAGTTAGTTAGCAGTTATGCTAACCGCTTAGCAGAGGTGGGACCAAGTCATTGTTTTGCACTCGAGTTCCAAGTGCTAAAATAGCAGATTTAATGGCAGCTTAACTAAAGAATGATAATTCTTGTGATGTTTTTTGGCATTTTGCATTTTGCATTAAACTCGAAAGTGAAAAATGCAAAAATTTTATTTTTATCTTGTATTACTTGTATAATTCATTAAAAAATTCAAAGCAGTTTGTTCCAGTGAGAATAAAATCAGGCTGTTTGGAGTGTTCAAAGTAACGTTACCAAGAAGGCGAGGTTAATATGAGATGTGTCTGCAGCTAGACAAAGTGAGTTTGGTGATGTATGGATCAACGTTTTGTGCAGAATTAACAAGGATTGGTTTTGAATTTGTGTTAAATTTGTTGCAATTGGAAAATCCCTGGAGGGGACTACATAGAGCACTATTCACCAGACAAGCACTACAAAATGTATGAAATCTAATCGTATCATTTCTTCCAAATGATGCTCAGTAATGCAACATTAGTTCTTCGTGGTTCTCTCCTTAAAGCTGATTGGATGCTGTTGAATCGATTCACACAAAGTGTATCTGGGGATCTGAGTATCGACTTGCTGGGAATGCATAGTGTGAACATTAGCTGATTCAGGAAATGAAGGGTTATGAATTGATTCATGGAACACTTTTAAAAATCGTCGAGTTGCAAGTCTCTTCTGACTTTGTCAAGTTGAGTTTAAAGTTTGTGACTCAAGTCTGACTCAAGTCCACACCTCTGCCACGTAGCAACCACAAACATACCTGATAAAGTCTGCTAACTGCTTGTGTTTGTTTCTGTGCTGTAAGATCACATTTCAGACCTCATTCATATCTTTATCAAAGAGGATGTTGCTCTTTAGTTTCGCCTTCCCCATGTCCCCTTTATTAAACAATAAATGTATAGAAATTGACCATTCATTCACTCTTTTCATCTGCCTCTCAGAAACCTGTTTGTTCTGTTACATGACAGTGTCTTCCTGTTCCGTGACATTAACAAATCTGCCCTTTGCTCAGTAAACAATCTCAGGGATTTCTAGTGTAATCTGTTGTGTTGACAATGTAAAACGTCAAGCTTGGAAAGGTAGCCAAATTTTATAAGCAGTCATTGTGATGATCCTTGAGTCTCTGATATAGACAGGAGCCGTTGAGGCCATGAAATACAAGATTTATGGCTACTGAACATCGGTAAAAACAGAAATCTTTACACACTAAATCTTAAAAAGGAGTTCTTGCTACATAAAGCTACTGAAATCTCAAGTTGACCTAACTTTACCTCTCCTGAAATACCCGTTCATCCTGCATCTAAAGAAAAGACCAAAAAAAAACCGTACATCCAGACTTTAAATATACAATTAACACATACCGATTCTTCTTAAATCTCTTCTTCTACCTTTGTGTGTATCTTTAGGGCGTTTTTGGCAGGAGGTCGAGTCTTACATGCCTGAATATTGCATTCCAAATTTTTCATCATAAGCAGCTTAGTGGGCATGTGAGTGCTGAACAAATGGTGTCTGTGCGGGCGAAGGGAAAAAAGAACAGGGGGGGGGGGAGTTGTGAAAAAAGGGAGAGGAGAGTAAAGTGGATGAGGAGAATGAAGGCATGTGATTCTTGGGTGAGAGATGGGGTTGGGAAATATGTTAATTTGCTTGTTTTCTGTGAGTTAGATGGGGAGATTCATTTGATTATTAAAGGACCAGTGTGTAGGATTTAGTGGCATCTAGCGGTGTAGTTGCAGATCGCATGCTTCACCCTACTCTTCCAAGCACAAGGGAGAAACGCTCGAACAAACAGCCCTCATGTAGAGCCAGTGTTTGGTTTGTACCTTCTGGACTACTATAGAAACATGGCGGTTCAACATGGCGGACCCCATAGAAGGCCCTCTGCGTCTATAAAGACTCATTCTGAGGTAACATAAGGAGTCTTATATTCAGATGATTCAGATTATACATTAATGTAAACCTACCTATGTTATATTCCATTCCTTTCAGTAGATCCTCCTAAATGTTACACACTGGACCTTTAGATTTAATTAATTTCTTTAGATTAAACACTTCATATCTGTTAAATATAAGGCTACAGGCAACAGCTAGTTAGCTTCACTTAGCACAAAGGGCGAGCCTGGATTTAACAAATTTAAAATTAACACATTAGAGTGAAAATGACAAGTTGCACTTTTACAGGCGGTTATGTGACTTCCCGAAGCCTCGTTGTCATCGTTTTTGTACAGATTAAACAAATGTAACATGTTAATTAATGAACTTTAGAGGTGCTGCGAGGTGGATTTTGTTAAATTTCTAAAGTATTCCTTTAAACGATCTTGTATTGATGATTATGTGATTGAGGTTTTTTTAACACAAAAGTGAAAGAAAAGTCAATTCAGCTTTATTATTACAACAAGTAAATAATCTTATCTGTAATGTTCTGATGCCGTAAACATTATACTATCCATTTTACTGCATCTACCTCTCTTAGCAGGTTAAAGCATTATACTCAAAATCTTTTGCAAAATACCGTTTGATGGTGGCCCGTTTTGAATAGATGAGTGGAGAAGGAGCGTTTCCCAGGCAGGCAGTGAAAAGATGGTATAAAGGGTTTAGGGAGGTCAGTTGGTCCATCGCTCTGGCCCAGTTCCTCGCATGAAACCCTTGTTTCTTGTTTGGGAGAAATGTGCTAATCCCCATGGGCCCACTCTGGGTCCCAGCCAGCCTTTGAAGACAAAAAGAGCCAAAAAAAAATAAAAAATCGGCTTTTGTTCTTCAAACAGGCTTTTGTACTCCTAACCTCTCTGTGAGCTTGTATTTTATAGAGCGGTTATGATCCATTGTATAATGGTTGCTGTTATGACACGGTTTCCTCTGGAGGCATTGTATAGTAGAAGATATATACTCTGTGGCCTTCTCAACTATGTGGTCTTTGAACTCCTCGGTATGAGGCTGTTTGCCTTCAGTGTTTTTTATTAGACATGCGGTGTGATAAATAGAGTAGAGGAAGCATCCAACCCTGCGTGGGCCTCCTGACACCTGATACCAAAGCCTATGTGCGTCAAGCCGCGGGATTTGGAAAAAGAGCACATGATGTAAGCAGTCAGATGATAAAGCTATACCTTACATAAGAAACCCCCTCAGTCTGTCAGTAAATAGTATCAACTGATGGAAGGCCATAGAGTATAAGTGCTCTGCAGTCCTGCCGTCTCTAATTTCATCTTTTCCGATGTCAACCAAGTGTTTCATTGCCTTGTCCTTAATTGAACTTGTCCTTAATGCTTGTGGTTACTGGTGATAACACCAAACCTACAGCAAGCACTCACAGAGGAGCTGCTTAGTCAGCAACCTGTGTATCTTGTGGTGTAAAACGTGTGTGCAACCCGAAGGGCTCACTGAGACCTCTATACCCTATCTGACGTGTGAGGACTGTTTAGTTGTCTTAATGTCTTGCTGAATAGTACTTCGTTTCGGAGACTGTTGGATGTAGTGTTCAGGACAGAAGAAGCTAGCTAAGAAGGAACCATACACGTCGCTCTGTCTCTTAACCTTGCTTTGTGTTCTTGAAGATATCTGCCCATGGAACAGTGTGTTTGTCAAGGCAAAGCCTTTTGCAGTCACGTCTTCCTGGCACCAGTACTAATTAAATACATTCATTAAGACTGAATACTGACTGACCTGAAAGTACCATTTTATCTGTCATTTCTGACAGTGCATCCAAACAAACTCATGCTGTTTTAATAAATAAGTCGGTCAATAATCCGCTTCTTTCCATTTTGTCAAAAACAAGCCTGATGATTTCATGCTGTGCACAGTTTTCCACACAACAGCAGGATGCAGTAAAAGGAGTTGGTTACTTGCTGAGGAGTTGGAGTTGTGCAGAGTGTCGCCTGCAGCTTTTCACCTAATAGCTCTCTGTGGCTTTTTTTCTAGTAGCAGTATTTAAAACTTATCCGCTTTCAAAAATATTTAGATGAATGATCACGGTTACACTGCCTTTCCTGGGGCTTCTTCACAATAAAAGTCACCCTATGTTTTGCCATATGAACACTTTAAATGTGAAGCAGCAGGATGTATGATATCAATGAGATGCTAATGCTGATTAAATGCTGCATTGTTTCCTGTGAATCCCTTGTATGGAAATGGCGGACTCAGCCACTAAAAATAAAAACTACTGTATAGAGAGGTGATCGCTGAATGTAAACACATTAAATGGCTATTGCAGGAAGAATGCATCAAAAACGAGGTTTGATTTGAGTTGATTGTACCATATTGTCTCTTACACCTTTTCTTTTTCTCCTTTCCCCTCAGACCTGAGATCTCATCAGCACAGATAAAAGATTTACGTGAAAAGCAAGAGGAAGGATGGTGACTTTGGAAACCCCAGAAGCTCCTGTACCTCTGACCGCGCTGTCACGCTGGTACCTCTACGCCATCCATGGCTACTTCTGCGAGGTCATGTTCACAGCCGCCTGGGAGTTTGTGGTCAACTGCAACTGGAAATTCCCCGGTGTGACCAGCGTGTGGGCGCTCTTCATCTACGGCACCTGCATCCTCATCGTGGAACAGATGTACCTGAAGCTGCGCGGCCGCTGCCCGGTGTTGTTGCGCTGCATCATCTACACTTTATGGACGTACCTGTGGGAGTTTGGCACGGGGCTGCTGCTGAGCCAGTTCAACGCCTGCCCCTGGGACTACTCCGAGTTCCGCTACAACTTCAAGGGACTGATCACGGCCGAGTACGCCGTGCCGTGGTTCTGCGCATCCTTCATTGTGGAGCGCTTGGTCATCCGCAACACTCTGCGGCTGCGCTTCCACGAGGGGCCCGAGGACGGTTGGTCAAACCATTGGTCGGATGCCGGCGGCGGAGTAGGGGCTGGTGTGAGGGGGAGAGAGAGGAGCAGAGGGATGGGAAATGATGCTAACGGCTACCTAAAGGGAGAATGAATAAAAAGGAAGGACACAATCTGAAACCAGCCCAATCGCCCTGCTACACCTCTTCTACCCTCCTCAGCCACTTTTCATAAGCAGTCCTCCCCCTTTAACTCTATGGGGGAAGAAAACAGACAGCTCTGTAGACTGGGCTGGTGTGCAGAGGTGTACAGAGTATCAGAACAGCCAGAAAAACAAAAACCTAACTGGGACTTCAAATGCCCAGAATCACTCACTGTGCTCTCTACTGTCAACAGAGGCACAATAACTCCATGCTGCTGTGTTTGCTGCATCTCATAACGTACCCACCCATTTCCATGTGGGATTGACCTTAAGGAGATCAGGATATCTCCTCTCCCAGAGACTGCAAAGAACTCGGGATTAAAAAAAAATAATAATAAAAAATACTGTTGCGAAAATTAGTGTTATCATCTTGCGAAGGAACAAATTCAAGAACAATATTTCTGTTCTTCAGGGTAACATCAGTCTATCTGAGAGCAGAATGCTTGCTGCATAGAAGTCATAATAAAAAGTAGCTACAGCTGTAACATGTTCTTTTTAAAATGTACATATTGTCCTTTAGTATTACTCAAAGTACTGTAGTAATGTAGCCACAAAAAGCTCTTTAAGAACATACCGACCACCCTGAGGCAATGCTCCGTGTGTCAGCCTACATCATAACGAATGTTTTACTGCAGTTAGTGAATACCCACAATGCCTGGAAAAAAATGCATGAAAAAAGTTGTCTTCCAATATAATATACATTTTTACAGAGCTCACTCAGCAGTCATACTGTACGTCTGTTGAGTCAGTCTGCTGCTCGTGTGTGTGTGAAGGGGACAGTAGCTCAGGCAGCAGAGCCGGTCGACTTGTTATCACGGTTGATTCCCCCGGTTTTCTCCTCCTGACGGCATGCGGAAGTGTCCTTGAGCAAGACACCGAACCCCCCTAAAACTGCTCCTGGTGAGCAGGTCATGGCCTTGCATGGCTGCTTTCCCCCGCCATCGCTGTATGAATGAGTGTGCGTGTGCGTAGGCTAATGTGAGACGCTAAATAAATGAAGTCTATTTACAATAATAGCAGGGGTGCTTTTCTGTTGGAAATGATTATGAGTCATGAGCAGGAGCATAAAGCACCAAACCTCTTGAAAAATTTCCTTTTTACCGTTTTTCAGAAAACCTTCTCATGACTCACTGTGTGCATGTCCATTTTTTTGTGTTTAATGTCGTCTCAGATCTGCCAGGGTCGCATGAGCCTCATTTCTTGATTCTCATTCAGTGGAAATCAGTAGCAACTCCTGTCAAGTCATACAGTTTACCTGGGAGACCATGGCTGCTGCTGCACGATCAAAAGCGTGTAGGGATGTAACGATACACTCAACTCACGATTCGATGCGATTCACGATATGATTTTGACTGAAAAAGATTCCTTTATTTCTCAGATAAAATCTACAAAATGTATTTTCTACTATATTTTCTTTATCAAATGATAGAATCCTTTATTTCTGAGGTATAAACTGTGCAAAACAATGCATATTTCATTTCATTTTTCAACCTTTTTGAATCTTCACATATTCGTATTGTGGTTTAACTGTCTTGCAGTGTATCTTTACATCCCTCAAAAAAAAAGTGTCTGTTGAATACTGCTGAATATCCTGTTAGTTTTTGAGTGACACAGAACAAGAAGCAACTGCAAAAGTGTCAAATTCACTAGTTTTGTCACTTCAGAGCGCGTCACCAGGTTTTCGCACCATCTTTCTTATTTACACTACGGTTCATTTGACGAGTGTGTGCAGTGAAGAGCAGGAAATATGCAGCAGATTATGGTGATTAATTTATTAATCAGCATCAGAATTTGCTGCTCATTTCTTTTCAACATTAATGATCTGTGGTGTTGCACCGGACTGCAGAAGTAGGATGATTTATAGTACACATAATCCACATTTACCTATAATATAAACAGGTCTAAAATGCTCAAAAACTAACAAATTATAACAGTTCAGGTAGTATTAGATTAACTGTAACTAGATTTTTTAATGGTCTTAATGTCACAGCACTCGTGTCTTACATGAGGAAGCAGGTGGAAACACAAAATAATGCTCTGTTCCTCCGGTGTTGTTACTCTCCACGTGGATCATCTGCTCTGGAAGTAGAAAGATCAAGGACTGCACTCTCACCTTCACGCATACAGGAGCTGACAGTAATGTTTTCAGCCTGAGTCGGTGGAACTGGTGCTACTGCGTTAAGCATAAAACAGGTCGGACACTTTCCCTGTTTACAGTGATTCCAAGATACCAGGGGATTGATGTGAAATGGAAACCTGAGCGCTGGAAAAGTATTCCTCAGGAGGACCATTTATGTTGTAGACTCAGTCACAATGCTTGTGCTGACAGTGGTTGGACTCAGCTTTTCCCCATTTTAACTGAAAAAAAAAATAGAAGCAAAAAACAGATTCAAATCCATGTTTTCACGACACTACTGGACTACGTAGGAGGTGTGACCTTCATCAGTGTGGCTGCAGTGGCATGCAGTGTTTTCCCCCCTTACTGACTGTCTCCCTGGAGTCCGCAGGGTGAATGGCAGGAGGCTGTTCCACATGACGCATAACTTGCTGCCACCTAGTGGATAAATTGGAAAACTGCAGAACTGGAACACAAACGTTTTACTAAGCTCGGACAAGAAATAAAAACACATCAAGAATTCCTTTATTGGGATAAAAAAAGGAAAAAACAGAAGGATATATCTGGGGTTTTTTTTATTTGAATTTCATTTTTGGTATGTTTTAATTTAATAACATGAATCAACAGGCTTAAAAAGCAATACAGGCTTCTGACCCAGCAATGATTATCTAGCTCAAGGCCGTCACCTTTTTCTCTTAAAAAATCTACTAAACTACATTTTGAGAACTGGTATGCAGCTAATAGTTTTACCCAATTCTACTGCTTTTGATGAGACAAATCACAAGAACATGCAAAATTAATGTGTGTGTGTGTGTGTGTATTTGTTTCTCTGCAATATGTGAGAGAAGGAGTATTGGGTGAGTGTGTATAGTGTGTTTTACAGAGACCCCTTCTCTGTATGTGTATGTGCATGTAAAGTATGTTCAAACAGAACTGATTCTCTGGTATTTTTACCTTGAGGCTGCATGTCCAAACTTTTCAATTTCTCCTCCAAACCGATTTTATCCAAGTGATTATTAGCCCCATGTACTGTAATCGTTGCTTATTTTTTCATTCAAATGTACAAGTTTTTAGTGAAAATGGCTGTACTGTATATCACTGATTATGTTCCATGTATGATTTATCAAACTTTACACTTTAAATTAAATGTATTTATTTGATCATACAATCTTCTGGTGGTCTTCTGTGGTCTGGAAACTATTTTCATTTCTGCCTGCATATATATATTTCTGCCTATATATTATTCTTACATTATTCAACATTGATCCAGCTGAGAAATACATTCCATATTATAAATATTCCCCCTAAAACTCTAGTTAAAATCCACTCATGCAATAGCAGCATGGCTCTAGGGATGCAAATCTCAGTTGGTTTGATCCAGACTGAAATAACTCAACAACTACTTGAGAGATGCTATTAAATTTTGCACAATCACGGCCCCTACAGGAGCTAATGATCCCCTAAATGTTCCTCTAATGCCATGCTGGATACTTGGGCCTCTAAGTGGATTGCCATGACATTTTGCACACACATCCCATCAACCCCCACCGCCTCTGGATGAACGGTAAAATTGTAATAAAAATGTTTTTTAAGATAAATTTTAATGTATTTTTTATAAATACAACTTTATTGATTATAAAATTTAAACAAAAAACATAAACAAATTTAAAGAACAAAAAGAGGAAACAAAGTGTCATTATGACATAAAAAACATTTTACATTTAATACATTAAGTATTTCTAAATTCTGATAAAATAAAATATATAGGAGGAAGATAAATAAAGAAAAGGATTAATAAATTATTCACATCACCTTTAACCTTCTTCACTACTTTGGGTTATGACCAAATACCTGCAGATGAAGCCTCAGCTGATGACCTTTCACCTGTTTAGCATCAACATGTTAGAACTGAAGGTATGGTTAGCATGCTAAAAGTAAAGCTAAAGTGCTGCTAGCAGGGATGTAAACTGTTGTTTATTTATTTATTTACCTTAATGTTATAAGTTGCTCCTCTGTTACTGAATCAAAACAAAGGTGACAGCCCGGCTAACTGGATACAAACAGGTGCAGCTTTGGGGTTAAAGATCTTTGTTGTCTTTCAGTGGATGGAGTATTTCTCACACAGATGGTTGGAAGAGGAAGGTAAGTGTTTTTAAATAATCTTCAAACATTGCTGGCTAGGTATAGATCTTGATTGATACATATTATAAGCTTTAAATATTCTGGTGTGCGATTCAAATGATTATTTTGAGCAAAATTATGAAGATAACATTTTAATTGAACAAGTTGTGGATGCTAATAAAACTAATGGCTAAGTGAAAGTCATGGCTAACATCCCTGCTAGCAGTTTGTTGATGTGCTGTCACACAGTGGTGCTTTGAGCTAAATGCTAATATGCTCACAGTGACATGCTGATGTTAACCTGGTTTGGTTTACCATCTTAGTTTAAGACTCAAGACTCACTGCTGACATGTGCTAATGCTGAGGCTGATGGGATTGCCATTGGTTGAGCAGGTTTTTGGTCATAAAAGTATTGGACACAGGGTGGGGAGTAGCACCAGCTGGAAGATTTCAGACATAAAATAATGATTTAATATTGAGTGGTGGCTGAATTTGAACATTTATCTGTCTGGGGCTGGTAGATGTTCACATTTTAAAAGTAAGAAATGTCCCACCCTGGTTGGATATAAGATGAAAATCAGTGGATCACCAAAGTAGAGTATGTACAGGCTACAGTATGAATGTCTGGACACAATTGCACTCCCTCCAATGGTTATAGTTTGATATTTAAAGGATATAAATATAGGATATAAATTAACTTGCCACTAGATGTCATTAAAGCACCACCATCGCAAACCAAAACAATGTGTCCGACCAGACTCCATTGACAATACCAGTAATTTTGCCGAGCAGATAATCATAAAAAACACTCTTCAAACTGGACAGAAACAAAATAAAACTCTTACTCACTGTCTTTGTTTGTCTTTGCAGAGTCTGTCCAACAATCACAAACTCCTTAACCTTAACTACAAATCTTAATTCACAGAGTTAGATAAGAAAATAGCTGTGAAACAGGGGCTACAATGGCTGCTGTGTAACATCCACTAACTGCTTGTTCTTGGCACTTACAGGCTCAGATTGTTATTCGAATGTCTGAACATATTATGGAAAAGATCCCTACGGAGATAGAGGTTTTAATCAGAAACAGCTGTAATACCGCTATCGCTCTGTACCAGACTCCATAGACAAAAAATTGCATATCATCAAAACATTGTAACTTAATTTAAAATGGAAAGAAACTAAATAAAACTAAACAAAAGAGGCTTTTGTTAGTCTTGCCACCATTCCAACAATCACCAACTCTCTTAATTCACAGACGTAGATTTGTAGTTTGCTCAGATTCACTAACATGCAAGTGTGGCCCGACAGGTTGGGATAGCAACACAGATAAAAGCAATGTGACGCCATTATCTGCTCAGGATGCCATGACTCCACTATATCTTTTACATAGCGAATAGGTTGTTTGCTGCTATATTAATGTTTTAACCTCAAGTCTGAGCCATGTTGGTAGCATTACTGTAACATAGATTCTAACACAGGTAATTTTGAACCCATTTATGGAAGAGTGCAGGTTTCAGTGATCTATGCATCCAAGGGTCAAACATTATATAACATTAAAAGTCAGCCTTCAGTTTAGAAGGCTGGTCAAATGTTTCTGGGAAAGAAGATCGGATTAGATTTGTATCATAGACACATTTTTGCTTCTACTTCTCAGAAATCAGATAAGAGCATCAGTACTGCACCTACAAGATGCCTCTTCTTTCTCTGCTATATTAAGTTATATTAACACATACAAGTATGAACCCCTTATTATTAACATACATATTAAATATAAACACCTTGTGCATTTGATATCTGCATGAAACTTTCTTCATGTCCACTAATTAGCTGTTAAAGGGTCATAATTAAACTCACCTCCTATAGAGAAAGAAATATTCAGTGATATCTAAAGGTGCAGTACCTTCATGTGGCCACTTGATGGCTCTTTTTCACCAAAAACATAACAAAGCAGCCGTGTTCATACAGCTTGAAGGACACAGGTTGCTCCTGAGTCATCAGTCTGGGTTTTATGATTACTTTGTCAAGGGAACTTTCTAAGACTGGCTTAAAATGTAACTTGGGCAGTAGGACATTTGTACAGTGTTTATATGAACCAACACGCCTCCTCATTTCAGTCAGTATTAAAACTTTTGTTTTTAACCTTTCGTCCTTTATGACAGGCTGCCAGTTCAGCATTATATAGCCTTAGCATAATAAAAAACAACAACTCATTTACTTAAATAACGCTGCGATGACATATTTTGTGTTTAGTGGAGGCCTCGAGCAAAAATTTCCATCTCCTCCCTCTTGCTGCCGCACCTTGCATCAGGTAGTGAGAATCTGGGTCATCTACCTGTCCCGGCAAATCCTTTAATTGGCTGCGAGTCCCCTGCGGGCCCCGGGGCCCTACACCAAAGCAATGCTTACCTACCTGTGTGAGGGTGTGTCCACTTCACACACTCTGCTGCACTAATGGCATGAACCTGCCGTGGCCCTGCCTCATTTGGCTCCGTCAACATGTGGCTTCATCGTGCCTCCTCCAATCAAGTCACTCACGCTCCAAATATGGAGTTTCACAACATGTAATCTGTGCAGGTGAGATGACAAGTGTCCTCCCCGGGGCATTTTTAGGGCCTGTCCTGTGAGCGTGTGGTGTGCTCACATTTGTGCGTCCTGTGATGTGTGTCGAGTTTCATGGTGCCTTTTCTTGTGTGACTTCATTGTTCTCAGTGTCAGGTTTCTCAGTGTGCTTAACAGGAAGTAGAGATGGATAGAAGTCAAGGGATTAATATGAAACAGCTTGAGCCATGACCTCGTTGAAACTGCATCTTGATGAAAAAAACAGAACACTTTAACGGACTAATCATCTTCTTAGCTGCAAATTATTATCTCCCTTTTATCATAAAGAAGAGAGTGCTTGAAGCTTGCTTCCCTTTTGCTGTTCTGTATGGATGTGAGGCTTAAAGTGTCTAAAACCCATTGAGACCCTTCACATGGCGAGAGTGAGGACCACCATTAGAGTCAGGACTCTCATCAGTACAGGCTGTAGTCAGAGACAAACTAGCCATGTACTTTTGCAATGGTCAGTGGTTGTTTTATGGTGCTTTAATTAATAATTTAATTTAATTAATTTAATTACGTATTATTCTGTCTGTTTTTCTGGCTGAGTTCTGTGTTTTTAACTTTCCTGTCTATCTTCACCTGTCCTATTAAAATAAAGGCATAAAAGCCCCAAATAATAATTTTTTTAGTCTTTTAAAAAAACAGCCTGTAGCCATATTATATTGTGTCTGGTAAAAAAACTGGTAAATAACATCTGGTAGTCTGTTTCCTTCTCTCACTCCTAAAAATCTTTATACACATTTATGTTATGTATTGTGACTGCACTTTAACTGTTCTTTCTCATAAACTAAATCACACAATCTCCAAAATAATTCACAGTGTCTGAGGTATAGCAGTAGCCTCAGCACATGTACAATATCATGAGGGATCCTTAAAAACGAGACATGGCAAAGATGACGTATAGTATAAGACACCTGGTTCAGCAAATACAGCATGGGGAGCTAAGCTACCTAGCCTTAGTTGTGGCATTCTGACATACATTGTTGTGTGTCACACGAGTAAAGACGAGACATATGGCATATGATTGTGCAATATGTCCTATCTATATATACTAAGCTCATACATCAGCTCACAGGTTGCATATTAAACTACTAATGTTGGAAGATGGGGTCGTACTCCAGCTGAATAACAGCTGTGCTCGTGTCAAACAGAATGAAAGACGTGTGTTATGTCACGAAATCAGAGTAAAATTTGGAAATAATATTAGTTCAGTGTTTATAGGGACAGAGTACTGAAAGATTTGGACACATACAAGTTATTTTATATATTTGTATTGTCACATTTAAGTCACTCTCTGTGTGCAGGTGTGAGGGGACGATAGTGTGTTTTAAAAGTCTGTCGGACAGTTGAATGTCAGGTTGGCATTGGAGAGCAGTGGGGCGAGTGACGGCGTCATGGTGCATT